CCCACCAGCTCAGCTGCCCAGGGCCCCATCCAGCCTGGCCTTGAGCGCCTCCAGGGATGGGACACCACAGCTTCTCTGGGCAGCTGTGCCAGCGCCTCACCGCCCTCTGAGGAAATAATACTTTTTTTCCTAAAATCTAACCTAAATTTCCCCTTATAGCTTTCCCCCCCCCCCCCTGTCCCACAGCTATTTTCTCATTTTCTGTTTCAAAGTAATACATTTATATCAAGCTCCAATCTTTCCATTTATTTAGGACAGATACCACGCAAATAACACTACAATTTTAGACAGGGTTTTTTTTTTTTGCTTGTTTGATTTTTTGTCTTTTGATCTGTCTTGATTTGGTTTCAATCTCCTGGGCAGAAAGGGCAATAAATACGTGAATAAATCACAAAAGAAAAATGTAATGGATGGAGTTCTCTAATCTGCTATGATCTGTCTTCTGTCTTGAAAAATAGGCATACTCAGACACATTCAAATCAGCCCATTGTACTTCCGCTGTTGCTTAGTTGCAGATTCCTCTGATTTCTATGGCAGTTATCCAGAACATCATAATAATCTGGAATATTAAACACAGTCCGCAGGCAGTGACTTAGCTTTGTAATTCTTTCTTGGGCAGATGTATCTCTGGGGTGTGTTCAGAGATGAGCAACAAAGCTGGTGAAGGATCTGGAGTACAAGTCTTATGAGGAGCAGCTGAGGGAATTGGGATTGTTCAGTCTGGAGAAGTTCAGGAGAGACCTGATGGCTCTCTGCAACTGCCTGAAAGGAGGTGGGAGGGGTTGGCCTCTTTTCCCAGATGACAGCAATGAGACAAGAGATAACAGCCTCAAGCTGTGCCAGGAGAGGTTCAGGTTGGATATTGGGGAAAATCTCTGCTCTGAAAGAGCAGTGATATATTTGGAACAGGCTGCCCAGGGAGGTGGTGGGGTTACCATCCCTGGATGCGTTCAGAACCATATGGATTTGGCACTGAGGGACGTGGTCAATGGGCATGGTGGAGGTGGGCTGATGTTGAACTAGATGGTCTTAGAGGTCTTTTCCAACCTCAGTGGTTTTATGATTTTGTGATTCTATTCTCAGATATGACAGGTTCAATCATATTAACATCCATCCCCAAGGACAAAAAGATCTAGAATTCTTTAGTAGCAGGAAGCGACTTCTAACATCCAAAATGTGAAATACTGGGTGGATACTTCACAAAAGCATCTGAAATCATTCTGAGAGGTGTAAACAGAAGACGTCAAGCTCATAAACAAATTGCCAAACAAGAAAAAAAAAAAGAAACCTCAGCCCACCTTGCACCCAATCCCATCTGTGATTAACGTAGCTATCTTCTGTCTATAAGAAACGTTTGCATTTATTGAACGAAAGCCTTCAGCCCCAGCAAATCCTTTTCGCATATCTGTGCACTCCTTTCGGTGTACAGGCAGCCACAGCACCTGGATGCACACAGTCGAAAGTAAACAGAAACGAACCTAGAAAAGTTTTAAACTCTCACAATGCCGCAGGAACCAGCGAGTGTTTGAAGACAGGCACAGAAAACAAAAAAAACCAGAAAACCTTCTGTTTATGCTTCATTTCCACGCCTGCCGCCAAACTGACCGGGAAGGACCCAGCTTTCGGCCAGCCCTACGAGGAATGCCGGCTCGGCTCGGCTCGGCTCGGCTCGGCTCGGCTCGGCTCGGCTCGGCTCGGCTCGGCTCGGCTCGGCTCGGCTCGGCTCGGCTCGGCTCGGCTCGGCTCGGCTCCACGGCCGCAACGCCAGCGCCGCCATCCGCGCAGGCTCGGAGAGGCCACAGCAACATGGTGACTGGTCGTTGCTATAGGAACTGCGCCATGCTGCGCACGTGGCCGGCGGGGAAAGATGGCGGCGCCCGTCTCCGTATGCCATGTCGCCTGCTGCGCCAACCGGGTGGGCGGCGGGGTCGTATCCTGGGGCCGCGAGGGGCTCCTCGCCTTCGGCAGCTGCCGGGACGTCATACTTTACCAGCCGGCGGTGAGCGGGGTGGGGAGGCGTGGTGGGGCCGGCCTGGCGGCGGCGCGGCCTAACACCGGGTGTTTCTCCTCATCCCGCAGGCCAGGCGGACGGTAGCAGCGCTCCGCGGGCACGGCGGCAGGGTGAACTGCGTGCGCTGGGCACGGCGGCGGGACGGCGGTGAGTAGGCGGTATGGGAGGCCTGCGGGGCCCTTGTGGTAATTCCAGGTTTTAAAGTTACTGAGTGCAGTTCTTGAAGGCACGTGTTCCCGTCCTTAAGCTTCTTGAGGAAAGGGAGTGGGGCTGCTTGTCAGACTCTTATTATAATGTGCCCATGTTTGTTCTGGAGGGGAGTGTTGCTAAGCACTGAGGTGAAGCCATTTCTCCTTAATAATGGTATAAACTGGCATCCTTTCAAATGGTTACACTTACGTGTTTTCTTCGCAAGTACTTTTTTCTATATTAATACTATTTTTTTGTGCCTGTGTGTATCTTTTCTTGTTCTGTGGTTTTTAAGTAAAACAAATTGTTTTCTGAGAACTTGGCAACATATAGTTATAAAGGTTAGAAGAGAACTGTAAGATAATTTAGTCCAGCTTTCAGCCCATCCCCACCGTGCCCACTGCCCTTGTCCTTCAGTGCCCCATCTTCATGTTCCTTGAACACCTCCATGGATGGTGAGTCCACTGCCTCCCTGGGCAGCCTGTGCCACTGCCTTACCGTTCTTTTCGAGAAGAAATTTTCCATGATATCCAATCTGAACCTTTCCAGGTGCAATTTGAGGCTATTCCCTCTTGTCCTATCACCAGTTATGCAGGAGAAGATGCTGACCCCCAGCTTGCTGCCACCTCCTTTCTTGTCATAAAAGGTGATAAGGTCTCCCCTGAGCATCCTTTTCTCTAGGCTGAACAATCCCAGTTCCCTTAGCTGCTCCCCATAAGACTTGTGCTCTGGACTCCACAACAGCTTTGTTGCCCTTCTTTGAACATGTTCCAGCGCCTTGGTGTCTTTCTTGTAGTGAGGGGCCCAAAACTAAATGCAGTACTCAAGGTGCAATCTCATCAGAGCTGAGTAGAGGGAGGGATGATCACCTCCCTGCTCCTGCTGGCTGCACTATTTCTGACACAAGTCAGAATGCCATTAGCCTTCTTGGCCACCTGAGCATGCTTCTGGCTCATGTTCAGCTGAGTATAGACCAGTACCTCCTGATCCTTTTCCTTTATGCAGCTTTCTAGCCACATGCCCCAAGCCTGCAGTATTGCGTGGAATTGTTGAGAGCAAAGTGCACGACTTGGCACTTGGTCTTGTTAAAGCTCATACAGCCTGAAATTAAGTTTTCATGTGAAGGTTCATGTTCTGTGGAGTCATAATTTTCTTGCTTTCTTGTTGTTTTATTTATTTGTTTGTTTTTTTTCCTGTTCCTCAAAAAGACAAACATATTAAATTACTCTGTTGCATTTGAGAATCTTTTTAGAAAGATATCCATCATATTCATATGAAGTGTTGAGTATTTCTGTAATTCTTCTCTACCTGTTATTTTGAGTAATTCCTTTGCTCTTGAGTTCTCATGTACTGTGCAACTTTCATGGCTCATACTTTATTTTAATGAGAACTTTGTGTGTAATTGATAACTGTGATAAGTAGTTACTTATGTAAGTAGTAAACAATTTAACTGCTTTGTGTTGCTGACCGCTGTTACAAAGTAAGAGCTCACAAAAGTTGTGGAATGTGTTTTTTAGCAACTGAAACTGAGTTAGTTTCTGGTGCATCTGATAAAAAGGTCATTCTCTGGGAGTGGAATGGGACAGGAGTTTGGAATGATCAGGTAAGTAGAAATATCCTCCTTTTAAAGCTTCTCTCTCCCCCCTTTTTCCTTATGGTTTTTTTTTTTTTTTGTATACCTCAAATCAAATTATTTGTTTTGCCTGTAGTTTTTGTGCCTCTTTATTGCACTATGACAGTTGAAGCTCCATGTGCATCTCCCCTAGACTGCTGATACTGTATCATGCTATGATTTGACCTAAATGTTGTTTCTTCTCTTCTGTAGTTAATCTTTTTTGAGATCAGCCAACCAGTCATCATGTGGATTTGTCTAGCTTGTCTAAAATATCCTATTTGTCTGATTATGAGTTTTCAACTTTCTCCTCTCCAACTTTTCTTTAAACTGCTGTAGTATCTTGATACTCGGAAGTTCATTTTTGGTATGTTTTATGTGTCCTTTCTAATTTCTTTACATTGATTTTTTTTAGTGGTTTCAATCTGCATGACTGTGTTTTATACACAGGCAGTCTGACAAGGATGATACATGAGGTAGGATAGGTATTTAAAAAAGCACTTCTGCAACAGTTGATTTCAGTCAAAAATGTTGAGACAAGTAAAAAGGCTTGCTTATTTATTACTCATACTGTAAAAATGGAAGGAAGAAGATGAAGTATGACATAACAGACTTCAGAATGGACTGAAATGTAGGAAAAGGTGTGTTATGTAACTTATTTTTAAAATATTAAGCACTGCTTGTGAATGCTGTGTAGATAACCTGTTTCAGAGGCTATCTCATACTACTTTTGACTATGTTTAAAAATGCATGAACATAGTAACACAATGGGGGAAAGTGTCCATATAGTGATCGTTATCAGTCTTGTTTATTGGAGGAATGTTCTTGGGAGCGAGTAATTTCTGTTTTTCATCTGTTGTAACTTTTAACATATTGATGTAAAATAATGTATAGATTTATTTAGTAATTTCTTCCATTAATGTGACAGCCTCATTTAAACCTTTGAAAAAGAATGTGACTAAATTTTCACGTTTAAATGACTGTTCTATACAAGTGTATGTTAAACAAGCAAAGTTCTGAATTGAACCAATTAGAAATGTTACTAGGGCTTACTAAGCTATCTTTTGGAAAGTGATGACAATTTGGATAAAAGCTAGACTTCTTCTAGTTTGAGAATTAAAAGCTTCTCGTTTTGCTATTTGTATTTATGAGGAGTGGATTACAAAATATCAATTCCCTAAGAAACTTAAGTCTAAATTCAGAGATTTGGGTTTTGTCAGTATTTTAAAGAAATCTTTGATTTGTGAAAGCCCACAGAATAGAGCTGCTGTAGCTGCTACTTATTCCATTGTGTTCTCTATTTTGCCTAAATTGCTAAGGTTCTCTGTACTTTTGGGAGATGTCCTGTATAGGTAGGGGCACGTGAATGAGAAAAAGGAAGGAAAACTGCTCATCCTAACCTAACTTCTATCATATATCCAGGCAGCCTCAAGGAAAGGTGAAGTTTTTCTAGTGCACACAAGAGAACTTGTCAAGTTCATGCTCATTACTGCTGTATCCCTTTTCTGTTTTTTATAGAATGTGTTACAGCTTAATCATAGCTTGGCAGAAGCTCCACCACCATAAACGTACAATTTGTTTTCAGTACTAAGGGTTGTTGTTTCTTTTTTTCCCCTCCTTTCCTTAAAATGTTTTTAAAAGTTCTCATGGATAATTTGCTGGAGTTTAATTGTGCTTGACTTTTTTTTTTTTTTGACTCTATAAAACTTATGTTTTCAGCTTGTGAAAAGCGTTCCTCTTGAAGGCCATACTGAAGCTGTTTGTGCTGTGGATGCTCTCTACCAGTCAGATGAACCTGATTTAAATCTGTTAATAGCTTCTGCAGCATCTGACTCTACTGTGAGGATTTGGTCTCGACATGATTCAGAAGGTAGGGTGTTTTTTGTTTTTTTTTCTTTTAAATTTAGGGACAATGTTTTGTTTTTTAATTGAAAGACAACATACTGGCTTAATAAAAATGATGAATATTCATCCATTGAAGTACTTGGCTAAATGCTAACATCTTCTAATGCAACCACACTGATTTCCCTTCAAGCTTTGTCTTAACTACATTGTTTTTTTTGAAAGCTGGGGGCTATAGAAGCTTAGCAGTTTTGGGTCAAATTTGTTCCTCAGAATGACTTATCTCTGTTTTTTATCAGATGAGTTGGCTGAACTTAACAGCCTCTTATTGATTTGCATTCAGAATCTGATCATCATTTTTCCTTGTAACATGGGACAAGCTAGCTCTGTGTTTGCTTATGTGAAATAAAATTACTGTGTAAAATGAAGCTGGAATGAGAAAAGTGAAGTTAAACTAGTCACTTGTTACTACTGACTTGAGTCCAATGAAATATAGGATAGTAAGTCTTCTTTTGAACTAGGCTTATTGTATTGTCAAAGAGAATAGTTAGGATGGATAATCTAGATATCAAGTGTTACTTGTCAAGTTGTGTTGACTACATCTCTCCCTACTTTCTTTGCTATCTGGTGTACTGAGGATTTCCCCTTGGCTTATTGAGTGAGATAAGTAGTTGGGAGTTGCCAGTCTTCAGCCCCATGTTCTAGAAGGCATTTCTCATGCTCCCAGGGAACACCCTGACGTCCTTTCCTTTTGGTCTTGCTGTTGTGGGTTTCAGAAGCAGAAAAAACAATTCCTTTTTAATTCTACTTCTGTAGGAAAGTTGTTCTGCCATCCTGTTTGTTACTCTGATCTCGGTGGCTCACCAGTTTAATCACTTCCTAGGATCTCAAGGCTGAAGAGAGGAAGGCTGGATTTGCTCCTATCTTTATCTGCTTTTGTAGCAAAGAATTCAGTTTTTGCTTTCCTCGTAGTGAATGCTTTTGCCACTGGATGTAATTTGGAATATTTATTGCTTCTGATGTGTTACCGGAGGGAGCTGTACAGTTTTAATACTTGATGGAGAATAGTGACTTATGTTGTAATTTGGCTAACTCTGGATGGATTGCCATGAGCCCACAGAAAATGAAATTGAGGGTAATTTTCCCTCTAAAAATCAATGGCTTTTAAAAAAAAGTCTTGCAGCTCTTTAAAATAAAATTGAACAGGAAATTTTAACTACGTAATATAAAAAGAGATGGCAATGTAACTGTGGTACGATGAATGAGTTCAACAGTGTCTGTTCTCATTTTTCAGTTAAATGCATTGAAGTTCTGCAATTTGGAAATGGATTTGTTATGGATGTTTCCTTATCCTTCTTGCCTGGCAGCAATGGTGAGTAAGTAGAGCAGCATATCTTGAATATCAGTGCAGGAAAAAATAAAATCTAAAATTTCCCATGTGTAGCAGGTTTTCATTTAACCAACTTCAGACTCCTACGCCATATATTTTGTTTCCTAGGGAATTAGCCTAAACTTCTGCCTGTACTCAAAGACTTCAGCTGAATTTTTCTAGGCAATTTGAATAATTCTATCTGACTGTGGCATTTTCAAAGTGGTTCTCAAAATTCATGTTAATGACTTTTTAAAAATGAAGTAACTGACTTCAGTGAAACTCAGCATTTTGTAATCTGCCCTTACTTGAGAAATAAATTGTCTAGCCTTGGTAACTATTTCTTCATAATTCTTTAATTTGTTCCATTTTATTTATTTATTTATTTATTTTACTATTCCAGTCCCTTGCAATACTGCTTTATCTTTAGATCTAAAAGGACTGGAGCAAGTGTTAACTATTTTTCTTCAGCATCTTCTACCTACCTTCTCGTGTTTTTCCCTCAGTCTTAACTTTGGTTTGCTCAAGTCAACAGACCAGTGTTTTTTGCCTGATTCCTAGATAGTTTCTACGAGCTGTCTACTGCTGAAAGCTCGAGTAGACGTGTAACAATGCTAACTGCTTTCATATTCTTGCATGTAGTAAGTCTGTCTTCGTTCTTATTTGCTGTATAACTGTGTCCATCCATATACTCATTTCAGTTGATCAAGGACTCAAACTGTTTTAGTTGTGAGTCATTTTGTTTTGCTATTCGCTCCTTTTGTATTTAGAGGAAATGCTGTTTATTTGTATTAATTTTATTGCTGTCAACACAAATCTCTGGTGCTTGAGCTTCCTAGGAGATGCGTTAACATGAAGAAAACTACTCAAATTATACATCTGTAGATATTACTTAGGTGCCAAAAGAACTTCTGAGCTTTATGTTCCTGAAATACCAAATTTTCATTCATACAATATTAATTATCTGATTTAGAATATGTTAAAGCAGTGGTATCTTGGCCCACTATACATTTGTGTTGTTTTATTGCTTTTTCTTATTTGTTATTTCTCATATCCTAGAACACTAAATTTTGTAAATTTAGTGATGAAGGCTTTTTTTTCCTCATTTTCAGTACCAATACTGGCTTGTGGTGGTGATGACTGCAAAATAAATTTGTTTACACAGCAGAATGGTCAGGTAACTACAGCTTTTTGTCTCTTGCTTTGTACATTACACAGCGCTTCTTCACATATGTATCTTTTTTTTTTTTTTTTTTTTAATTTCTTCAGTAATTATTATCTGTCTCCAGATAACAATCGCACACAACCACCTCTGTTCAAATAATTCATTCATTTTCTAGGTAATGATGAAATTCTTGTACAGAATGTTCAACCCAGATCCAGTAGAAGTGTTATTCCTCCTAATATTTCCCTATGTGAAGAAGCCTGTAGTTTTTGTTCCCACTGACAAGGAATAGTTATGACTGTCCCTGATTACTCAGTATCCATGTGCTGAGTGTTTCATATGGAAATGATGAGGGTTTTTTCTTTTTTTTTTTTTTTTTCAGTCTGTGAGTTGTTGCAGTAAAGCTGATATTTTCATCTGTAGAATTGTATTTTTGTTGTTAAGTATGCTGTTTGTGCTGGATGTTTCTGAATGACTAAACGAGTATTTGAAACGATATCTGATATTCTCTTGGCATACACATTTTTCATGTATTACTTGGAAGATGACAATACTTAGTCTTCCATATGGGTAAGTGTTCCCTCTGGTGCACTACAAATAAATTATCCTCTTGCATCTGTTCAGCAGCTTTGTTAGACCCTAAAGAATGTGTTCCATAATTGTCTTCCACACCAGAGGTCAGTGACACTTCTTTCTTTTCGGTCCCTTTAAAAAAAGTTGAACAACCAGGGACCCTCCTCCAAAGCCCAAATGAACTTACCAATCAAAAACCTTAACTGAAACCAACATAAATGGGAACCACTCACTTTCTGCTCAAATACAGTCCCCCAGGATTTTTGAAGAATAGGCCTTTTGGGAAAGATTAAGCTTCCTATAGGTTATTCTGCCTGTTCAGGTAGTCATATACAAGAAGACTTACTTTTTGTCAATAAAAGAAATGCTTCATCCTTTTATTTCTTGTGTTCAGTGGTATCTTCACTGCTAACCAGGAAAATGGAGTCAGTTTCTAAGTTTTTTTTCTTTTCTTTTTTTCCCCAGTGTGTAGCTTATGAGTTAAATCAGTTTAATGACATTCTCTAAGAACTAGCACTCATGATTCTCAGTGTGTAGTAGTGCTAAAGAAAGATATGTACATCAGGTGTTGTGCAGCTAATTTTTATATTTACAATTTGCATCTTGGTTTTTTTTTTTTTTTGTATTGCTCAGATTAGCAAACAATATGCAATTGAGCTGTCCAAAATATTTACACGTACATAACTTATTTTGCCAGTTGCTGTATGCCTTTTGAGGATAACAGCATTCTTAACTGCAGTCTGTGGATGGATCGAGGAAGGTAACTGAAATAAGTTAAATCTCCAGCTTCATGTAGGCAAGTTTATACTGCTGTCATTTTTGGATGTAGGAAACATTATTCATGTAAAAAAGGTGTGGAATTTTGTATTGACTTTTTTGTTTTCTTTTTCCCCTCACACCTTCAATTCTATGAAGTATTTTCACATACCAGCTACCTTGGCAGAGATGGAATTTGGAGTCAGTCTCTGTCACACAGAATCACACAATCACAGAATCGTGAGGTTGGAAACAACCTGCAAGATCATCTAGTCCAACCACCCTCCCATTCCTATCAGTACCACAAGCCACTAAACCATATCTCATAGCACCTCATCCAGGTGCATCTTAAACACTGCCAGGGACGGCGACTCCACCACCTCCCTGGGCAGCCATTCCAGTGCCTGAACACCCTCTGAGAGAAAAAGTTCCTCCTAATGTCCAACCTAAGCCTCCTCTGGTATAACTTCTGGCCTTTTCCTCGGGTCCTACTATTTGCCTGGGAGAAGAGGCCAGACCCTTTTGCACCACATCCTCCCTTCAGGAAGTTGTAAAGTGCAATGAGGTCTCCCCTGAGCCTCCTCTTCTCCAGACTGAACAATCCCAGCTCCCTCAGCTGCTCCTCGTAAGATTTGTGCTCCAGACCCCTCACCAGTTTTGTTGCCCTTCTCTGGACACGTTCCAGAGCCTCAATGTCTTTCTTGTAGTGACGGGCCCAAAACTGAACACAGTACTCGAGGTGCGGCCTCACCAGTGCTGAGTAGAGGGGGATGATCACCTCCCTGCTCCTGCTATTTCTAATGCAGGCCAGGATGCCGTTGGCCCTCTTGGCCACC